TTACATCGCGTGCATTGTTCAATGATGGTTTACTTCGATCGTTACCTCGCGACACACGTGATCGAGAATTACGAGTCACGATTCCGTTGGAAAGTAAATCCAGCCCGCACTCGTAAATTTCGCGCACAGCTTGAGCAGATTTAACGATTTTCAGTAAAATTATGAGTTCCCATCTGATCGACGAATCGATGAGATTTTGATGTATTATTAAACATAAATCTCTTTTCATTAAAACTTATAATAGAAAATGTTCCAATAAAATGTATAAAATAAATGTAAACAGATTTCATGAAAATTATCTATAGAAATACATTACTTGTACAAAAATAGGGAAAATATAACATTTTTATTGAAGTTCATCAATATTCTTCCCTCTTTTTTAAATCATTATTATGAAAAAACTTGGAGTTATTTTTTCTGAGTCTTTTATTAAGTCTTTAATTTAGCATTAAATAAGAAAAAACAAGTTTGCCAAATAAATCTTACATATAAGATAATTTTTAAATATAGGTCACTAAGCTTTAGGATCTGAACTCTTTGACTGATTTTTCCAAGGATTTTTCCTTAGAGAAAGTTTAATTGAACGCTATGCTTTTTTCACAACTTTTTAATTTTTAACATTAAATATTCTCAAAGTCTATTTAATTTTAAATTAGAAATAAGATTTTATTTTATATATATATATATTTATTTATTTATTTATTATTTATTATTTATTTATTTATTTATATATCTATTATTCTTAATATTTTGTTTAAAATCGTTGATTTTTTATTTTCTTATAATTCATAAATTATTTATCTCATTCTATTTTTATAAAACTGAAATAGAGTAGATATATAGAAAAATAATGTATGTATTTTAAATTAGAAACAGAGAGAGAGAGAGAAAAAAATATATGTGTATATGTATATATATTAGATATTGAGAAAAATTTTTATAATAACAATTCCAAATACTTTTTTTCAAAAAGATTTCAAAATCTATCATTAAAATATTACATAATAAAGTATTCTGCCAAGTTTCCAGAAACTAATAATAAATATAATAAACAGTACATTTTTCCCAGGCATTTAATAATCTTTTTCTAAAATGTAGAAACGAGAAAAAGAAAGAAAATGCATTATATCTATATTACTACAGACAAAAGTGATTCGCAAAAGTATATTTGAAAGCGTTATTATATTATTTTGTATTAATGCTTTTAGATTAACATTTTTCTTTCTCTCATTGAAATATAACATTAAGAATGTCTCTAAATCGATGTTCCATTCGTTTCTTACACTCTAATTCGTGAAGTGACTTGATCTTCCTTGAAGTATTCTTACGGCCAAGTACCGTGCCTTCCTCTTCATAGTAAAGCGAGTAATCGGGACAGTTGTAAGACGCCCTTCCGTCTTTTAATTAACGTACCAGCCGTTTTCGGTGCTGGTTTAATTAACCGAGTGAACTTCTCTGCAAGGCGACCAAGTTCCAAGAATTAATAAACGCGAGTGTAATGTTTACAGGTAGCATAATAATTAATTTCCATGGTGACTAAGTTTCGCGGCATTGTCGAATGCTTCGCGAAACTTTATTCAAATGTACCAACAAGTGAAATTAATTTACCGAGTTAATAGTATCCGATATGCGAATTGAAAAGTTTATTTCATAGTGCAGATTACGCATTTATGATATTATTATTGAGAATTTTGTAGCGTAATCTTCATTTTTTAAATTCTACTTAATTTTATTTTAAAATAATTTGGAAACAAGTTCTTTAAATAAAAAACTTATAGATTAGATAAATAATAATAGCTAAAAGAGAAATCTAAAAGTCTACAGAATATATTTATAATATATTTTTACAGTCAATATTTTATAAATAAAATTATACGTCTCTTATAAATACTATTATTAATACCACAGAATAGTCTTTATGGAGAATACAATAAAACTTGCAAAAAAATAACTACGTGTAGAAGTTAACATTGTATAAACCATATTTATCGATTACTTGTTCTTCTTGGTAATTAAATATTCTTTGATTAATTCTTAACCTCGACCAAGTTCGAAACTTCGCGATGGAATAAGAATCTAGCAATTATGTGTTAAATTATATCTTAATTTATAACGATACAAAAGTTTTGCGATGAAAAGTTTGAGACGAAATAATATTAAAGCAATTTATATTTAATTTAAAATAAGAAATTGGTAACTCGTTACTTTTGACACATTTCTAATCTGTCAAATGCAAGGTCTTTGCGACGGAAAACTGACAACGAAAAAGAAATTTACCAATGGAATTTTTTAAACAGAATTATGTGCCTCGTACAAAATTGGCCGGTATCTGGGTTAAGTCGTGGATCCTCCCAGGTATATTTTCTTATTCGTGTGCGTGCTCATCGAATAATCTGGCATAATCTGTCACGAAATCGCTAAGCCTCGAGTAGCTCGAGCTTACGTGACGTCTCGAAAGCGTCTCGACGAGAGATGGCCGTATTAAATCCTAGCACAGGTGGATTTTATTCTACCGCGGTATACCGAAGATATTTCTCATGTACTTAGATATCATCCTGGACGGCTCCAATAATATTTCCGTCAGTTTATACTCTAGGAAGTGAGATTTGTCATCGTATTTGATGCGATTGCGTCTTTTGACCTCAAAATTCTGATATTCTTGGTCGACTTATAGCAATTTCCATTATGATTTTGTATTTTTATCGTATATTAAATTTCATATATGTTATATGCTCTTCCCTTTTTTTATTTCACACATTAAGCATTGTCGTTTGCTTCTTGTCAGTGAATTTACTTGTGCGTAACTTTCACAATGTTCTCATTTTGTGTGCGAACTCTGCGGCTCGCTGAAAGTTTTACGGGTATTCAAGACGAACGCGTGTCTCCTCATATTTATGACAAGCGCCTTAATGCCTGGGCACGATGTGCCGACACGAATCCTCTGCCGCGAAGACTTTCAGCGACTTACTCCTCTCGTTATATCGCCCGAAAGATAATTCTCGTCTTAAAGTGACACATTATACTCCGCGACGTGTTTAACGATGCGCTTTATACTCATTTCGTTCCAAAGATGGCTCGTTGAGAGCTAGTTTTAAGAAGGATTGTTTAAAAAAGACTTAAGTGCTTGCCGTAGTAAAAATATTTACCAAAGTATTCTTTATGTGATGCAAAACCTTTTCTTCTACCCAATTTCAACATCGGAATAGTTAATTAAAAAATTCAATTTTTCCTCATATAAGTTTTACATATTTTTATAGTATATTTATGATTTATATGTGAATTTAAACACAATTATCTCCTAAAAATAGAATTTTAATTTTTTAATTTTCATAATAGATTTGTTAATTTTTTAAATCAATATTAATAATTCTTCAATCATAAAAAGCACTTTTAGAATAGACTAAATTTTTTAAATAAAATATTAAGAGAAGTTTAAAATATTGGAAATCGAATATTTAATATCATAATAAACTCTTGTAACAATTTTAATTTTGAAAAATCCAATAAAAGTACATAGCAACTTTTCATCTATATATCGGATACATATATACTAATTTTCTCTTTTAAGATTTACAAATATATATGAATAATTAATGATGAATAATACTTAGGAGAAAAAACGGTATAAAATGTATTTAAATCTTATAGACTAATATTTTAGAATAATATTTTTAGATAGAATAATATTTTTTCAATAATAAATGTTTTCTACAAATTTTCCTTATATTTTATATTTTAAAAATGTTTTAAGATTCGAAAGATTTAAATAAATTTGATAAATGCAGTAGTTGCAAATGATGATAAAGAAATTTCTGCTCAAATCTCATGGTGTACATATTTCTTTAATGGAAAAAAAGCTTCGCAAAGAAAAAATCCTATGGAGTTCAGCAAACAAAAATTACGCTACGAGGTACCTCCAAGGATTTATCCGCCAGGGATGTGCTTGACAACGAATGTTCTTTAAACTACTGTTAAAAGTCGTACTTACTTTAACCTCTCGTGAATGAAACTTTATTGTCTCATCCGCAATTTATTCGTTCGCAACAACTTGGCAATCAACGAATTTAGCATTTAGTTCTACGCAAAGTAAGAAGTTAATGTTAAAAGTTTCAGGTGAAAATAAAATATGTTAGACGACCGCCTTTTTTACCTGTATTCCTCATTTGAATTGCGGATTTAGACTTAATAGAACACCTATAAAATAAGATTTCGCGTCCATCAAAACGCAGAGACTCGAAAATCAATTCCTCGTACGAGTATACGAGAGCTGATAGGAAATTACGAGAATCTCCTATATGTCTAGGTGGAAATAAATTTCCGAAATCGATTGTTAATGTTGCGCTGTCTATCATGCGCCCTGATTTTCTCCCTCGTATCGAAAAACGAATAGCGTGCGAGAAATTCATCGAAATGTGGCGAGAGACAAATTTGGTAGAAAAGAACGAATATTGGAAATGTTGTTCGTGCCAAAATAAATTCTCCAAGTTGGCAACTTCTCACACGTCATTAAACTAATGTTATAATACATATAGAAAATAGGAAAATCAAATTTTTCAATTTGTACGATGCAATCATTTTAAAATCACTCTCTCATGATGTTTTATATAAGTATTAAGCACATTGCATGTTAGTTCATCATATAGAATTTTTTAAACAAAAATAAATTATAACGATAATAATCGTTACAACTTCTAATCAAAAGTGCTCACTAATTTCAAAGATGTTATGTAAAATATTAGCTAAAATTTATACATATTTTCTATTTTTTGGACTCATACTGCACTATAATTAATATTAATATGCGTATAAGTAAAATCAATTATTAGTACTTTTCCGAGATAAAACTGGCACCAACACGAAAAAAGCACCAATGAGTACATAAGTCGCACAATCATGCGACGTCGATCATTCTAAAATCGATTCTCAATGTTGCTGACCCTTGTGCGCCCACACATGGTCGAACTTGGGCCAACGCACGCTGTTGGACTGCCATTTTAAAGAAGGCTGGAGCGACGATAAACATGAGGCGACTCCACGGCCTTGTGGTCACCTTCACCAGCCCAGAGTCCCACCTGGTAAGCCTCAGTATCACAAGCTTGAAAAAAAATCAGCAAGTGAAAGAAATGAAGCTGAGAGCTCAGCTCGCGAGCTCTCATTTGATTGGCCCGGACACGCACCTGTATATACCTAATTGGCTAACTTTCACGCGAGAAATTAGCTTTTTAGAGAGGAGTGATCACCAGAGCACTTTCTTTTCTTCTTCTTCTTCTTCTTCTTCTTCTTCTTCTCTATCTTTCTCTTCTCCTTTTTTTCTTTTTATTTCTTCTCTTTTTTATATTTTTTTTATATCTTTTAATCAGTCTTTAAAATAGATGATATTCGAATAGTAAAAAATAAAAACTTTCAGATATGTTCAGATTTTTTTCCTGAAATATATGTGTTCGAACATATAATTATTTAATAATAAAATTACATTTTTTAAATTATTACGCATTGTTAATTTATAGAGAGAAATATCATTTAATCGCGCATTGTTTTCTAACTTAATCATTTTTTTATGATGATAATAATATTTTCTTTACCTATATATTGTAATATAAAAAAATAATTATGTATATATTAACTATTCTTACTAATATTTTTTATTACACTACGTTTATTATTCTTGCTATTATTTCATTCAAAATATACACGAAAGTATAAATCTTAAAATAATATAATCTAAATTGAAATATATAGATATATTGTGAATTTATAAAAATATTGCAAATATACATATATATATAATATATGTGAAGAAGTCACGAACATAATATTCAAACGATAGAATGCTTCAATATTTGAATACATCTATATATGTATCTCTTTATGACCCTTATCTTCTTTCTACATCCAACTTTATTATTTCTTTCTACTCTTCTTTTTCTTCTTTTATCAAAGAGACACGTGGAGACTTGTGGAAAGAATTATTGATATGAAACTACGTATTATTGCTACGTATATATAAAAATCTTCATAACAAGGGGATAGAAAGAGAAAGATTAACTAAATCTAAAAAATCGTGTATAAAAATCATATATATTATATTTATTATCTAAGATATTTGATCACGAACTATTATGAAAATATTATTTTAAAAAATTTCCATAATATAAATTATTTAAAAGTTTCCAAAATATAAATTTTTTCAATCAGTATTATATACAATTATTTTTGAAGCAATATATTATCAACAAAAAAATATAACAAGAGAATTTGATTTTAAATTAATTGATAGCATATTTTACTAAATGTTTATTCTTGTCAATAATCTATAATTGTTTCCACGAGTGCTTTCTTGCAAATGGTTAGGGGATGAATCACAATATGTACATAGCTCAAATGTGAATAATATACGCACACGACACTTAAGCTAGCTCTAGGTACACCACTGGTCATTGCACATGCACGCAATAATCTACGCTCCTCTCACTATCATCATCTCTATCATCGACGCGATCCAGACATCTTTATGATTGTACAATACCATGAGAGAGATTGGGACTTAAGTAAAAATCAATTTTTATTATTTTACCAAAAACTGTATTATTTTTTTTAATAAACAGAGATAATTAATTATTACTGCATTCATTTTTTCTTACAAAAAGTAAAAATTCTCTCACCAAATTTATTAGAATTAGTTGTCAATCAATTCGAACAATCTAATTTATTTACTTCGAAATGACTGTGAGCGCGATTAATAAAATCAAATTATTTCTCGACAAGTACTTTAATTTTTGGCAGATTGAGGCTTGTTGTGCTTCTTAATTTCTATTGATCGATAATAGCGATCATTTCATCAAATCATCCTCTCTGCCTCACGGAATGAATGATTAATGAGCGTCTGACAATTGCCTTTAGCTCGAGCACCAAGCTGCATGAGGAAAGGAGAACGAACGAAATGCACCCGCCTGCATGTTGACGCCAAAAATTACGTCTAATTGTATTTTCAGGATGAAAGAACAGATCGACGCCGATTGGACCCACTGTTATCAGTTATGCTGAAACATATTCGTTTCGAGAGAAACGTACACCAAGAAGCAGATTTAATTACAGATCAAATGTTTTAAAATTGTCATTGAGATTTAAAATGCCAGAAATCTCTTAATCACTGAAAAATTTCTGCCCTTAAGAAAGTATAAATATTTTTTATTTGTAAAATATTCTGATAAAATATAATAAAAAAAAATATTTCGTAAAATACTTGCTACACAAAATAATTTTTACTCATATGATGTACATATATACGTATATGTATACATACACACACATAGGCGCGCATGTGTATGTGTGTATTATATATATATATATATGTGTGTGTACATATGTATACGAGTATATGTATGTATATCATATGAGTAAAAGTTATTTTGTAGCAAGTATTATATATAAAACAAATTAATGCAATATGTTAATAAGATTTTAAAAATTTATATTATGTATTATTACATATATTTGGCGTGTATATATTGCGTGTAGTAAATATTTACTAACAATTAAAAATTGCATTGATTTCTAATTTTTTCAATTATACATATCAAGAAAAGAATTATACATATCATTGAATCTTTTTTTAAAACAATTATTACTTTAGAACAATTATTAAAAAACTCATCTAGTTATATTTTATAATATATAATTATCATCATAGCATATATATATATATATATATATATATATATATATATGTGTATTTATATAAAAAAGATTAATAACAATAAATCTGTAATAATAATAAAAAAAAGATTATACTACAAAGAAAATTATACATATTAATATTAGATGCTATTATACATAAGATTGCTTTATTATTATTGCTCTTACAATTCTAACCTTATTAATAAATATGTTATAATAAAAAATTTATAGAAACATAGTATTATTAAAAGATTTAAAATATATTTATCGCGGACAATTAATAAAAATAAATCTTTAATACAATAAACTTTTATAAAAATCTGCTTCTAAATAATTTAAATACTGTGTTCGCTGTATTAACAATCACTGTTTCAGCATTGCTCGGCAACAATGGGAAAAGCGCGTTATATTATCGATATGTCGGTACATGTATTGAAGATATGTAAACAAAAAAAAGAGAAAAAACGAGGATAAAAGGGAGGGAAAAAGAGAGAAAGAGAGAGAGAGAGAGAAAGAGAGAGAGAAAGAGAGAGGTTTCAAATCGATCGAAATATATCATAATCAATAATCAATTTCAGAATCAATCCCATCCCGTCTCACAGTCGTTTCACATGGTAAAGATAAAACTTGACATACACAATACATGACACACACATGCGTGTACATCTTCTATTTTGTTTCTACCATTTCGCGAATATAAAGATAGCCCTAAATTCTCGTCTACTGAGCCTCAACACATATACACCGTGCCTAACCACGATACCAATATCGTAACTCTTGCGCAGCTGCAACACGGTGGGGCTCTGGGTAAGAAAACACTTGGAATAACTTTGAATATATATTTCTCGATTACTTCGTGCCAAAAGTTCCTTTACCTCTCTCCTCCCTTCGTTCTCATCCCGGCAACAACCCCCCGGGGTACTTATCTTCTACCCTTTATCTTTTCTCCGAGGTTTCTTTTTAATTTACGACGTATGCTTTGCTTTGTTTTATTAATGTTTTTATTGTTCTTTGAATAAATCTTTCTTCTTGAAATTAGACTTTTTGCGTGAATATTGAACATTTTTATTTATAAATTATACATATTCGGCAAATGCTTCCCTCAGTACATAACTTTTTAAATTATTTCTACACTTAATATAAATTTAAATTAAAGATTATTTAGAGGTAATTTAGAGGTAATTTATAATTTATCTCAATATTAAGAAAAAAATAATAATTCTAAATGAATTCTAGCTAGTATTTTAAAATTTGACAAATTGATAAATACAGATATTTTAATTTCTATTATATATATATATATATATATATATATATATATATAAGAAAAGATGATATATCATTTAAAAAAAGAGTAGACATCATATAAATATTTAAATGTAAGTTTGCTTTTAATATTTCTACAAATAACTTGCTCTATTCTCATCAGCAAAAAGATCTAAAATATTCATTCAGAGATTGAATATTTTGTGTAGCCTGGAAATAAAGTTATAATTTTAGAAAATATAATTTTCTAAATAAAATATAAAAAAATACAATAGTACAAATAAATAAAATTACTTGAACACAATTTTTGCATATAAAAACCATGCATACGTCACACATTTTTTATCAAAATCACTTTATATTTCTCATTATATATTGCCAAGTCTATTTATATTCATTACTTATATTAAAAACACCTTACAATAATTATTGCATTTCAGCTTCCACAATGTTGTTAAATTATAAAATCACCGATCAAGATCACCGAATTGTCTCTAACTTGATCAAAAATTTTAACATATCTCTTTAAGATTTTTTTTTCAAACATTTACGTCCATCGAAGCAATCAATAATTCAGGGCTTTATGCAAAATTAGTTTAGAAGAGAATTTACTTATTCTCAAAAAAATTCCTATCCAAAGTTTTATGAAACCCTTGCTTTTCCTTTGTCCATTCTTTTCGAGTTTTCTACAATGTATTTCAGGATACTTGATCGCTCGCACGGATCTGCTCTTCATCATCGATGGAGTTTGCAGGTGAGAGATCATTTAATCGATCTTTTGAGGCGGGATACGAGTCCCGAGTGCGCGTAAACACTTGACTTTTAACAAAGCCACTGTGTTACGGAGCATGACACAGTTACTGCGGTTGTAAGCCGGGCTATAACGCTCCGCGCATCAGGCTTGGAGTAGCTTGCACAGGAAGCAGCTTGCGGTTTCTAAACTCTGGATAGCTTTGCTCGAAGCGCGACAGGCAAACACAGACGCGAATTAATATATACAAAGCTGTCACATGCGATGTTTAAAAGAGCGGTTAATTGAGCCATCAATTGCGTAAAATCAAAAGCATTTTTATAAATTATTATTTGTTATTGCTTCTATTCAGCACATGTCATTTCGATTAAACGCTTTTAA